AATAGTTTCATCATTAACATGTTTCACTTAATAAACATGGCAAGTAAAATTTCTGGTGGAATGCATAACACTAGCTCAAATAGTAATTGTAACAGAAGTCATCTGAAACACAGAAAAACATTAATATTAAAAGGTCATATTCGTCCATATAGAACGTAGCTAAACTTACTGAATTCTTTATTAAATAAAACCGTGAGTTAGGCAAGATCCTAGAATAAATCAGAATTTCTGATGGCAAAGTTAAGACGCAAGTTGTCACGCTTAGTCAATAACGACTATGAATTTTGGAGAAGGGGCACAAAGACATACTTTAATCAGTGTTTCTCACCTGTGACTGCTCAGGCTGCACTCTGAAATACTTTTCTTCTAGAGGCAGTAACAGGGACTGCTTAAGCTGGCACTACTCAGTAGGACATCAAACTACGCCTTCAGCGTATCGCCAGGCTGGCAACTCTGTACAGTGAGAGATGCTTTTTACTCTAATAGCCTATCTTACAGATCGAGACTCAGTATTTAAGCTTTCCCCTTTGAAAGGAACAGGACTTCAAATTCTCAGAAAGATACTAAAGTTACTAGTAATATTTTAGTTAAACCAAGATTCGGCTAGACTGACACCATAAAATACTTTTTTTTAATTTAATGGAAGCTTTTAGCTAAAAGGAGGAAAAGCTTTATTTATGTGCCCAGTTTCCACACAAAAGACTATTAGAATTCATTTTAGAAGGAAAATAGGTGCTTTTTTTAGTCAATGCTAATTGAATCTGTTTTGCTGAATAACAAAGAAAACTTTTGTATGATGACAAGGTAAACAAGTCAGAAGAAAAATTACTTTAGAGAGACTAAGCATAAAAATATAGTTTTCTAAAAAAAAGCAATAGTAAACTTGAATATTCTTTACTTAAAAATCGAAGCTCACTTCAAAAATTTGGACTTGCACAAATAATTTCGAATACCATTTCAGTTACTGAAACTGCCTGTGAAAGTGTAAGTTATGCCCTGTTAGTATGAGCCCCACGAGGAACTTTAGGCTGAATCACTGCAGAGTAACTTAAGGGATGTATGTTTTAAGCAACTATGGAGAATTTTTCATATACCTGCACATAAACCAGCAATTTGCTATGCTGAGACACTCAAGACAGCTCTGTGTCCCTATTTGTTACTCAAGCCAACTCAGGAAGAACTCCAACAGCTGATTGTGCCACATTCTCACCGTAGCCTAGACAACACAAGACAGGTAACTGTGGTTGTTCAAATGGCCCACGCCACTTTTTTATAAAGTAACTTACCTCAACATCGTCGTTTTCCAGAGTTCAGTATGTCCAAAGTCAAATACATAGAGCAGCATATCAACAGTCCCACATATCTTTGCAAAATATCTATAAACATATTAAACCTCATGACTTACCCATGCAGATTATTCCTACATACCACTGGTCCTATAACAAACACAGGCAACATTCCTGTTGTATGTGGTCATTATAAGCCTATACTCCTTGACAGAAAAAGACAAAGACAGTTTTCAATGGTAGATGGAAAAAGAAACCAAATCTCTTGTAAACCATGAAGCCCATCTTCATTACCACAGGATCAACTCTTCTTCCCACAGAGTATCGGTTCTGACAGTCTGTGTAAGGGCAGTCATTTCTCAGGCAGGCAAGTTATAAGTTGTTCAGAGCTCTAATTTATTTGAAAGTGTCAAAATGGAAAAATAACTAAGTTAACAGAGATCACAGCAAGACTGCAACACGATCTTCCCCAAAAAGCTTTCCAAAAGGACAGCAGTATATTTTATGCTAGACTGACAGCGCTAGTAAAATACCTTTCTCAAAGGAGAGAAACAAAGGAAGCCATTGTAAACATAAATAGGAAAAAAAACAAATACAAGCCACACAGACACATTCTGTATAAGTAACAACTTTATTGTAACTTGATGTGCTGAAACGCAAAAATATTTTCAGCAACAAGGTACAAAAAGTATTTCACCATTAACATCAGCTGATAAAAAAAGGCTGGATGGTTTGATACAACTGTTTACATATCTGAATTCTCTGAATCCTTTCCACCCCGAAACAGGTCTAGGTCATTTCACTGGTTTAATTTCTAAAATAGGACTCATTGATCTTAAGCCTTCAAAAACCAGGTTACAAACACAGAGAAGTTCCTTGCAAAACACTTGAAATAGTGAATTCCCTTTACAGACGTAGTCCATTTACTGTAAGCAGAAGCCAAGTTACGAGACTAAGTTAGTGTCTTGCCAGCTAAGGAGCTGAGCTCTGCACTAAATATGCTATCAACACCAGACAAAGAGGACAGTTAACATTCCATTTGTCAATTACAAAAAATAAATCAATTAAGCTCAGGAATTTTAACCAACTATAAGATTCAACAAAATTCAACAATATTTCAGGTAGCAATACCTCACAATCGCAATTCACTGTCTTTTATGAAACACAGTTTCAAATACTGCCCATCGCTTTATTCTCCCAGGGGAGATACCTTTCCATGAGGATTTAAAAGGAACAATCTCCATGGAGGTCTTCTACTGACCTGCTGTGCAAAGGTGAATTTTATACTAAATACTCAAATGTTTAGAAAAACATCAGAACTAGAGTAACTCGTAAAGCTAACTTTGTGTCCATGATTATCACATTTTGACATACACTTATCTTGTAACAGCAAATATTTTCACATTTTCACAAAAATATACCATATTACTCAACTTGTATCTGTAAAACTTCACTTTGTGTTGTTTCTACTTCAGTGAAACTGAATTTCGAAAGCAAGAATCAACATGCAACAGAGCTCAAATGTAATTTGTAATGTGAGTTAATTTGTAACTTTTCTGTCTCAATTGTGTATCAAATAGCATTCTCCTTCACCTTTAAAAATACCTTTTAAAAAGATCTTGTGTCCTGTTAAATCTTCCCTTCATTACAAGTTTCCTAAAAAAGGCACAATGTGTTCATACTTCTGCATGCAGTAAATGGACTAGGAAATAAGGATTATTTATTGAAGCATCTTCCACCCAAAGCGTCTCCTTAGGAGAGGTTCGAATGGAAAAAAAAAAATAGATAATACATAATAGCATTTTAACAGCAAATTGAGTCCTTATTTTTAGAAAGTCATTCTTGACAAAAAACACTGCACAGTCATACACACACGCGCACGCACACACAGGACACATGCAGGGTTCTCCCCAGAAAAGTATGGAAGCGATAGTTCACATCTATCCGAGGGAGTAGTGTTGGCAAGCCAAAACATGGCACCTTCATACATTATATTCCTAATCTGTATATAAAACTAAGGAAAAAAAAAACTCCTAAGACTTCGGCCTGAAAAAAACTGTCCATTGTATTAGATAGTTTTATATCTGCTGCACTTAGAACTGACGACTGAGGTTTTGAAGGGCACGCTCTTGAGATCTGGGGAATACAAACAAGCTACTGAATCCGAAGGAGAAGGCTAACTGTCCTGTTCCAGTGAGAACACTGCATGTAGTTAAAGAAGAGGTGAATAATTAGTGCACTCACTTAAGAATACAGCAACTGTTTTACCTTTTTCTTAAGAGCTGACAAAACTTGAAAACATACATAATAAATAAAATCAAATCTAAACA